TCCTCCAAACCGATGCTCCAAACACGCATTATTATTTTCATAATTTAGTTATTATTTCTCCTGGAAGCGCTCAGTCAGACTGCTTGTTGTAATGTAGGGAGATCCGGTCTTGGGGGAGGGGGCGGGGTCAATGACGGCGGCTGCCGCGTGATCATCGTCTGTCTCTTTTATGTAGGGGCACGGAGAAGTTAAAAGGAGAGAGAGATAGACGATAGAAGTTCTTGTTCCACTTTATTCTTTTGTTTCATGAAGATAAACTGATGTTAAATTCAGTTTAAAGAGAAACTGGGAGGAAGCTTTGGTTCATTTTAAGTTACAGGAGATCTTGTTTCCCATCTGCTCCTCCAGAGACAGCATGGACATGAGGGTCACATGGTGAGGGTCACACAGGACAGGTTAGTGGAAAGGTTTGTAGTTAGCTGGTTAGTGAAGGAGATCCATCAGCTGGGTAATTTAATCCTAATCCAGCCCACAGCCTTCTGCTGGTGTTATTATCAGAAAGAATAAAACACACATCTTAAATATTATAGGAAGTGTAGAATTTGTTTTATGTTTTATTATTTTCTGCATCAAACAGAACTTGATTCATTCTCCAACATTTCAGAAATGAACCGCTGGGTTCAAATGAAATAAACTAAGTCAAACATTTCATTTGGTGTTATTTCTGTCACCCTTCAACTGTGGCATAAATATCTGACTCTAGAGCTGCTCAGAGACATTAAACACTCATATATGAACCCATTATGGATTTTATTATTACATTATGTGTCCTGTAGATTTTCAGTACTTTTTTAGATTTTGTGAGTTTTTGCAAAGCGTGATTTTCTCAGCCTAAGGAGTGGTGCTGAACGAGGAAACAGATGTTTTACTTTGTTAAATCTTCTTAAATGTTTAAAATGTTTTGTCCTAACCTGTTGTGAATGGAGAGCTTTTGAGGGATGGCAGGTTGTGTCAATTACGTTTTTGATCAAAAAAAAAGCAATTATCTGACATCTTCTATTTATCGATGAATTCAAATCAATATGAAATAATCGTGATGCATCGTGATGCATCAGGATATCGAATCGAATTGAATCGTTGACCCAATAATCGTAATCGAATCGAATCGGGAGACAAGTGAAGATTCACACCTCTATTATATATATATATATATATATATATATATATATATATATATATATATATATATATGTATGTATATGTATATATATATATATATATATATATATATATATATATATATATATATATATGTATATGTATATATATACAGGTGCTGGCCAGTAAATTAGAATATCATCAAAAGGTTGAAAATATTTCAGTAATTCCATTCAAAACGTGAAACTTGTACATTATATTCATGCAATGCACACAGACCAATGTATTTCCGATGTTTATTACGTTTAATTTTGATATTTATAGGTGACAACCAATGAAAACATCAAATCTGGTATCTCAGAAAATTAGAATATTCTAAAGGCCAATGAAAAAATGTTTGTTTCTCTAATGTTGGCCAACTGAAAAGAATGAACATGAAAAGAATGTGCATGTATAGCACTCAATACTTAGTCGGGGCTCCTTTTGCCTCAATAACTGCAGTAATGCGGCGTGGCATGGACTCGATCAGTCTGTGGCACTGCTCAAGTGTTATGAGAGCCCAGGTTGCTCTGATAGTCGTCTTCAGCTCCTCTGCATTGTTGGGTCTAGCGTATTGCATCCTCCGCTTCACAATACCCCATAGATTTTCTATGGGGTTAAGGTCAGGCGAGTTTGCTGGCCAATCAAGGACAGGGATACCATGGTCCTTGAACCAGGTGCTGGTGGTTTTGGCACTGTGTGCAGGTGCCAAGTCCTGTTGAAAGGTGAAGTCTGCATCCCCATAAAGTTGGTCAGCAGCAGGAAGCATGAAGTGCTCTAAAACTTCCTGGTAGACGGCTGCATTGACCCTGGACCTCAGGAAACAGAGTGGGCCAACACCGGCAGATGACATGGCACCCCACACCATCACTGACGGTGGAAACTTTACACTGGACCTCATGCAACGTGGATTCTGTGCTTCTCCGCTCTTCCTCCAGACTCTGGGTCCTTGATTTCCAAAGGAAATGCAGAACTTGCTTTCATCAGAAAACATAACTTTGGACCACTCAGCATCAGTCCAGTCCTTTTTGTCCTTGGCCCAGGCGAGACGCTTCTTGCGCTGTTTCTTGTTCAAGAGTGGCTTGACACACGGAATGCGACACCTGAATCCCATGTCTTTCATGAGTCTCCTCGTGGTGGTTCTTGAAGCGCTGACTCCAGCTGCAGTCCACTCTTTGTGGATCTCCCCCACATTTTTGAATGGGTTTGTCGTCACAATTCTCTGCAGGGTGCGGTTATCCCTAGAGCTTGTACACTTTTTTCTACCACATTTTTTCCGTCCCTTCGCCTGTCTGTTAATGTGCTTGGACACAGAGCTCTGCGAACAGCCAGCTTCTTTAGCAATCACCTTTTGTGTCTTGCCCTCCTTGTGCGAGGTGTCAATGATTGTCTTTTGGACAGCTGTTAAGTCAGAAGTCTTCCCCATGATTGTGGTGCCTTCAAAACAAGACTGAGGGACCTTTTAAAGGCCTTTGCAGGTGTTTTGAGTAAATCAGCTGATTAGAGTGGCAGCAGGTGTCTTCTATATTCAGCCTTTTCAGAATATTCTAATTTTTTGAGATACCAAATTTGGAGTTTTCATTAGTTGTCACTTATGAATATCAAATTTAAATGTAATGAACATTGGAAATACATTGGTCTGTGTGCATTGCATGAATATAATGTACAAGTTTCACGTTTTGAATGGAATTACTGAAATATTTTCAACCTTTTGATGATATTCTAATTTACTGGCCAGCACCTGTATATATATATATGTATATATGTATATATATATATATGTATATGTATATGTGTATATATATATATATATATGTATATGTGTATATATATATATATGTGTGTATATATATATGTGTGTATATATGTATGTATACATATATATATATGTATGTATACATATATATGGATATGTATGTATACATATATATATGTATACATATATATGGATATGTATGTATATCTATGTATGTATATGTATGTATATATATGTTTATATGTATATGTATATATATGGATATGTATATATATGCATATATATATATATATATATATATATATATACATATATATGTATATATGTATATATATGCATATATATATATATATGTATATATATGCATATATATATATATATGTGTATATATATATATATATGTATGTATATATTTCACTGCAACGAGATATTGTACTTTGGTTTTATTGTTCACTCAGAAACACGTTTTCCTTTTTCTTTTCCCAGTATTTACATATTCATTTGTTTTGGGTCCTCATTTAATAAGCTTAAAGGCCCATCATGAAAATAAAGCACATAATAAAATTATGTCCTTCCTACAACAACTGAATGCGACAGTTTCCATGTTGCTCAGCAAAACTATTTACACATTCATCAAGATCCAAAGATTTTGCTCGTTTTGATTCAATGCTGAGTACAGCCTAGCGTCATAGTCTCTTCTCTGTCAAAGCAGACTGCAAATAGGTCTTTATGAGCCTGAGAGTTGAAAAAGTTTGATTTTTCTTGAATTTATAGCTGCCAGCTGGGGTGGCAGCAGGGGTAGCAAGGCTTTCTTTTAGGGTGGCAACTGCCACCCTATGCCACCCTTGTAGATGCGCCCCTGCCGTGAAGCCACCTTTGCTAGTGCGGTAAACGTGATTTTGTTTTGGGGAGGAATTTAATTTACGCTGCAAAAAGAGACTTTGAAAACGTTTAATTGATCAGATCTCTTTACAGCATTCTGGATGCAAGCTGCTATCATAAAAACAGAGGCAACACACTTTTGATCACTGAACTTTATCACCCAGCGTTGCAAAAGAAATGTGCCTGTTGAAATGAGTTCGTTTCGTATGTATTTCATAATCACTTTGGGGAACGATCAGATTTATGCCTCTGCGTTTTTGTTTCACTGAGATTATCCTGTTGAATGTGGGATCTGGCGGCACAGAGGATTTACTGTGCTGTTGTAAGTCCTTTGCACCAACAGTACAAGACTGAATTTGGACTATTTTTACTTTGCTATTAGGATCTGCTCATTCAGTTTGTCTGGTCTATTGTTTATTCTAAACCCAACATTTTTGTAACGCAACATTTTCATGGTTTATAATCTCACAGGGACCTCATTCAGCAAGAATCACTACGAAATTACAAGTTTATTGTTCAGATTCACCTGGCAGAGGGAGGGCTGTAGACTCTGAGCAGTACAACACAGAGAACCAGAGAAAAACTCGCGTTAAAGCGAGGCGACGTGAGCCGTTCAGGCTGTGCTCCTCAGCTGCCTCTGTCTGCTGGGTGTAATTAGGCAGTCAATGGACTCGTGAGGCCTTAGAGCGATCGTCAAAGAAGAGTGTGGACTGGAGAGAACGTTAACAAGATGGTAATTTGTAAGAGGAAGAAAGGGAAAAGAAAGTGTGAGGAGAGGACTGAAGTGGGTCATAATCTCATATTTTAACCACTTAAGGGAAGTGAGTGAGTGAGAGTAGCAGGCACTCTTGAACTTGTGAATGAAGACGCTGCAGGATTAATAATCTGAAACACTGTTTTCTGAAGTTGTGCTTCGACTGTGAAAACTTCCTGTTATTCCGTAACCTGAGAAAAGTGATGTCATAACACTCCAGCTGGGGCTCCGGACCTTGGAATATCCCTTAATGTTCATTTGAAATAAATATGACTGAACATGTAAAGTTACTCTGTGATGTTGCGCTTTAATTGTACCTTCTGGAAAAGAGACGGGACAAATCACATGACTGTCACCCTAAATAAAAATGTGCATGTGGCTCAGTCAACGCCTCCGCTTCCCACAAGCACCTCAGTTCATCGCAGGAGTTTCGTTTGACCCGCTTTGCTCTGTCACTCATTCTCTATCCAGGAAACACCAACAGCGTCTTTGCCCTGGACTACATCAGCGGATCCCTGACGGTGAACGGCCAGCTGGACAGAGAAAACCCGCTTTACTCCGGAGGATTCACTCTGACCGTCAAGGTGAGCTGTTGAACGAAGCGGCTGGGGAGTGGAGGGCCTTTCTGCTCAGAGAAGAGATCGAAACTCTTTCACGAGAGGATCAAGAGCTTTGATATGTTAGTGTTGAGAATCATTCCACCAAGTCAGCTTGATTTATTCTCCTAAGACAAGCTGAATGAAGTACTTCGCTTGGACTCAAACGGCACATTTTGTGAAGTGGCAGGATGAATATCAGGATCAATATGCTTCTGACCGCCGAGCGTATAAAAGTTGCCGTTTGTGTTTATTTGTGCATCTGACTCAGATTAGAATAAGTGCCTTTAGTAAATGTTAGGCCAGTGCAGTCGTTGATTAAACAGAAAGTAACAGATTAAATATTTCTATTTCACTGAGCCCACATCTGCTTTAATCCTCAAAAACAAAGCCTTGCACACATTGAAGGAGTCCAAAAGATAGACGCACAAACAGTAAAAGGCGTTCGTTCACACTGCAGGATTTTCTGGTCGTACCACAGCAACGCCGAGCTTGATGTGCTTCTGAAAAAAACAGGCTGATGTTGAGGAGGTAGAAGATATCAAACCCTCCCAAGGCCCTGGAAAGGCTTTAAATAGATATAATTCAGTTCGGTTTATTCATATAGCACCACATCACGAGTCGTTTCAAGCCACTTTACAGAGTTAACATTCCAGTTGAACCTACTTATCAATGAATTGAGTTCAGTTCATTATGCCAATAAATTCACAATTTTCTTTTTTCCCCAGAGTACGACTTACAAGTCATTCATTCCTACTAGAGGCCTCTGCAAATGTATTGATTAAATGAGTGCTCCACACCTTTAAAGCAGCACTTTCAGTTTCCCACTTCTGCTTCTTACTGGTTGAAAGCAGTTACAAAAGTTGATATAAAACCCTGCAAAAGCCTGCAGTTGCTGCAGGAAGCTAACGCTAATACAAGCCAACTGATACTAAATAAGCCGCGAAGCTAAAAGATCTACACTGTTGGACAACAAAATATGATTTACAAATCCAGTAGCAACAAAGCCAGGTCTGCCACGATGCCAACAAAAAAGCAAACTTCCTTTTTTTCTTCTTGTGCTTTTTATTGACCGTTGGCGAACTGAAAAAGCTAACCGCTAGCCTTTATATGAGCTACCAGCAGAGTAAACAGCTGTTGCCATAAAGCAGGTAGACCTCCCACAAGGGAACCCACCCCAGCCACAAAACTGTCAAGTGCCGTTCCTGGTCAGCAGAGGGCCGTTCCATGTGAAGCTGCAAGTTTCTGGCACCTTCCTTCTGATTTTTAAAGAGCAAGTCACCCCCTACCAGATTCTTAAGCTTGGTTTATGCTTGACTAGTGATGGGTACTGAATTCGGTACTTTTTAAGGTACCGACCGAATTCCATAGTACCGACCGAGCACCGACTCACGTCATTTCAAACGGTGCCTCGTTTCGGTACCCGTGCTTCATAATGAGAACTTGCCAAGACAACTTCGCATGCGTAAGAGCGTTATGTTGTCGGTCGCTGCGAGCCAGTTGTAAACAGAGCAGCACGGTAGAAAGAACGCAAGCTAAAGCTTGGGTCCACTTCACTAAATGTGATGGGTAACTGGATGATGAAACCAGCGACAACGATCTAAGTGAGACATCCTCATCTTAATCTGCTCCGGTAGGTAAATATAATTAGCTTGATATGTTAGCTTCCGTTTCGCTAATGGTGTGTTCGCTTTCTCCTCGGAACTCTGAATTCCCGAGTAGAAGAACATGAACGCGCTCTAAAGTTTGGCTTCACTTTACTAAATGCGACGGGTGAAGATGAAACCAGTGACAACGGTCTAAGTGTGAGGCATCATTGTTTTAATCTGCTCCAGCAGCTAAATAAACTGTTTAAGATAACGTTAGCTTAATATGTTAGCTTCCATTGCTACCATTGTTATCAGCTAATGGTGCGTTCGCTTTCTCCTCGGAAATTCTAACTTCCCAGTAGGAAAAATCAAATGAAAAAAGACGACAAAAGTAAATTTAGTTCACAGTAAAGATGTTTGCTTCAGTTTAATTATCAACTTATAAAACTACAAGGACGATGTTAAAATACAAACTGTTGAATGTTATTTATTGTGATATTTATCAAATATTGTTATATATTGAGAAAAATATATATTTAATTATAAAAGAGAATTAAAATAATAAACACTCAAAAGTATCGAAAATTGGTACCGTTAAGTACCGGTATCGATTCATAGGTACCAGGAATTAGTACCGGATCGATTCAAATGTCAAAGGTACCCATCCCTATGCTTGACGCATTTACTTTCCGCTTGGTGATGCGGCTCGCGGATGGAACGCGCATCACAACTTGCAGCGTTTATGGTTCATGCGGCTTGTCTCTGCGGTGAGCCAATATTCTCCCAAACTGTAGGGGGCAGCATGGAGCTCTATGGCATGCATCCAACACTACACCATAGTAGAAGTAAAAAATACTGTTGTTTACAACATGGCATTCCAGCATTTTTTAACAGCGTCCTCGTCTTTTCCGACAGTGCGAGCTATTTCTCTCCAAGAATTATTAACAACATGTTGATCACGGCGATCTCTGAGAGCTGAATCATACAAATGTCTGCATTTACGAACCTCTGCCATACTAGTTCTTGCCAGTACGCCATGTTTTTCTGTGTCCAACCGTCCGCGTGGTTAGAAAATTTCCAAGGTGCGTGGTGCAGAAAGTTTGGGCCGTGCGGGGGTGCGGTGGAGGGGCGTGGTTGTTAAAATGACGCAACTTTCCCGCGCGGAGCCGTGCGGACCTCGCGGACGCGTCAAGCGTAAACCAACCTTTACTCAACTCCCACTTCCTGTTTGAAACATGCAACGAATGCTGTTGCCTTGCAAACCGAGAGGGTGGAGCCGCTAACAAATACACACATTTAGAATAACCAGCTAATCCATAAAAGAAAATTTTTGAATAGGATTTTAAGGTCCTCTGATTCTACAATTTCTTGATGTTTCTCTTGTGTTTAAAGCTGTTGAAATCTCTAAACCCTCGAGTTTCTCTGCTGAGACCAGCGTCTGTCCAGCTTGGCTTTCATCTCACTTTCATCACCTGCCAACCCTGCTTTCTGCCCCACTCCTGCACAGTTGTTTGCCCTTATTTCGTCTCTGCCTTTAGTGTGCACCGAGTCATTCTTGCAGAAATATGTTTGAGAAGATTTCCAAGAAATATGTGCTCTAACAAAATATCTAAAGTTTGCATCGGACGTACCAGCTTATTATTATTATTCATGTACTTTTGTAGCTACAGTTGCTGAACAGCATAATGTGTCTGATCTTGTTTGAAAGATTATTGAATCGCCACTATTAAAAGGAATTTCTTGCTAATTCATGTCAGGCTTTTTTAAATCAATAATCACAAACAATGAAAGTAAACAGAGCAAACCTTCTCAAAATATACTACAAAATGTATTTATAAGATATAGATTTTTTCTCTAATTTTTTTCCTCCTCCTCCCTGCTTTCGCTTTCGTTTTGCGGTGCAGGTATTGATCACAGCGTGCCGTAGTAATACAGCTAATTCCTCAACTTCAGGCAGCTTAGATAGCACTGAACAGGTAGAGGTGGAGGTCAAACCATTCAGGAGGGTTGGAATGAGGGGAAAAAAAGGCTAAAGTACCATCGTGCAACTCCTCCCTTTTCTGCTATTTACTGTGACCTTCTTTTATAAATAAGACAGCTCTTGTCAGAACCAATCTTCCTCTTAGTTTTCATTTTAGAGGCTTCTCATCATCGGCAGTGCTGCAGCCAGAAACGGGGAATGTGTAACTGTGTTCTCTCTAAGAACCTAATTCTCCTGGATTTGATTGAATATCCACGTGTATGTGTTGGTGCACACGTACCGGCCCACGCCTGGCCATTTGAGGCTATTTCTATGATTGTCTCGAGGTCATCCTTCCACCTTTTGATCCAATAAATAAAGAGCTGTAAATATCTGGTGAGATTGCCTGCTCACCACCTTCATATAGAATGACATTTTCGGTCTGATCAAATGCATCCCGTGCCTCTTTCTGTACGTTGATGACGCTTCCTTTTGTTGTTCCCCATTAGGCCACAGAGCTGAAAGAGGATCGCACTCCATCAAATGCAACAGTGACGACCACCTTCACCATCCTGCTAATCGATGTGAACGACAACGCCCCGAAGTTCAACAGCTCAGAGTACAGAGTTCTGATTACTGAACTGGCGCAGGTTGGATTTGCCCTCCCGCTCTTCATACAAGTTGAAGACAAGGATGAGGTGAGTGAACCACCCTCAGAAGATGTGTGGAAGTGGGTTAGTGCTCTTCTTTTGCAGCAGGGCTGTAGCCTGGCAAGCCAGACTAAATAAATGTATTATTTAGTCTGGCAACGCTCCATTGACGGCTCTCGGTTGTGGGGCAGGTTCTACCGTTGTCTTTCAAATGATCTCCGCATTCCACTGGACAATGAATGTGACGTACTCTTGTTTCACTCTGTTGCATCATCCCGCCCACCAGGCATATAGAGTGCCCTGATTGGCCCACAAAGCGGATAAAGCTCTGTGATTTGTTCACTAAGCAGATAGAGCACTATGATTGGCCCACCATTATGGACCAATCACAGCTCTTTATGTGTTTGAAACCCCTCTAGAGAGCTGTGATTGGCTAGCCAGAGTCCTGGTAGGAGCTGCTGAGGTTCCAATGGAGCATGCCTAGACCATTCTTTGCAAAGCAAGAATTTGGTCTAGTTCACTAGGCTAGCAGGGCTACAGATCAGATCTGGTCTTTACCAGGTTCTAAATTATTCAAATCTATTCTCAAGTGTGCAAAAACACTACAGATCCCCCCCCCCCCCCCCCCCCCCCCCCCCACCATGTCATTATTTATTGAGTTTAAGCAAAGTCTGTGAGGAACCGAGTCGTGAACAACATCTGCAGTGGTCTAGCTGCATCAACCCTGTGGGGATTTACTATGTGACTTCATAGTTTATTTTAATTCTGTGATGCATTTTGTCAGTGTGGATTTGGTTCAAGGAGTTTTTGATTTTTGACGATTCTCTGAGCTTCTGGACTTCAACTGGACCATTGGAACATCTTGATTATTTTGTTTAACCTTCAGTCGTTGTGTCAGACCTACTGCTGCATGTGGGTTCATGGTCCTGTCTTGTCACCCAGTTTGGACCAGCCAGACTCTAGAATACTCTCGTCTAGAGGTGGCCATATTTTATAAATTTACCCATTTCTAAATGTATGTTTGTCACCAGCCCATGTCGATATAGTAAGAATTAGAAATGAATGGATGGGGTATAGTCACGTCACTATAACCAGTCCTCTGTAATAATAATAATAATGCATTGAACTTATATAGCGCTTTTCAAGGCACCCAAAGACGCTTTCACACACTCTCACATTCACACACTGCTAGTGATGGTAAGCTACTTGTAGCCACAGCCGCCCTGGGGAGGTCTGACAGAGGCGAGGCTGCCATTTGGCGCCGTCGGCCCCTCTGACCACCACTAACACAGGCAAGTTGGGTGAAGTGTCTTGCCCAAGGACACAACAGCAGGATACCAATGGCGGGAGTTGGAATCGAACCCATGACCCTCCGATCATGAGGCAACCCACTCTACCACCTGAGCTACTGCTGCCGAAGAAGGGAATGTCAGTGAGGAAACAAGGGATGACTCAAATGTTGAAGCAGTGGGTGGGTGGGGGGGGTGCAGCAGGTAGCAGTCGGCGAAAACCAGCGGCAGCGATAACATCCCAATGTGGCCTAACGGTTGTTGAAGGATTTTTGTGGAAACAGGCTTTTTCTCCACCAAATCTACCACCCCCACCACTCCCTCTAACTGCCGCTGTACAGGTAGTTGTCGCCCAATTATCGTTATGAGGCGGTATCGCCCAGTCCTACTTGGATTCACAGAGGAGTTCATGTTGGACTCGCTGAAGGACTGTAAACCGTCAACCCCCCACCACTGTGCTGACTGCTGGTATCAGGTGTTTAGCATTCTACAAACATGGTGTTTTACCGGTCGATCTACGTCCCAATCCTCACCTATGGTCACGAGCTTTGGGTAATGACCGAAAAAACGAGATCGCTGGTACAAGCGGCCGAAATGAGTTTCCTCCGTAGGGTGGCCGGGCTCAGCCTTAGAGATAGGGTGAAGAGCTCGGACATTTGGGAGGGACTCGGAGTAGAACCGCTGCTCCTCCGGATCGAAAGGAGTCAGTTGAGGTGGTTTGGGCAACTGGTCAGGATGCCTCCTGGACGCTTCCCTGGAGAGGTGTTTCGGGCATGTCCTGCCGGCAGGAGGCCCCCGGGTCGACCCAGGACACGTTGGAGAGGTTACATCTCCATTCTGGTCCGGGAACGCCTTGGGGGTCCTGCCGGAGGAGCTGGTGGAGAAGGCCGTGGAGAGGACGGTCTGGTGCTCCCTAGTTGGGATGCTGCCCCCGCGACCCAGACCCGGATAAGCGGAGGAAGACGACGACGACAAACATGGTGTTGTGCATTGTGGGTAAATTTCTCTGCTTTGGTCACCTCTGTCCACTTTTACTGAATTCACATCCAGCTTCACAAGCCTGATTTTACCTTTTTATTTTTAGACAGAAGAGGTTTTCCCCTTTAAAGGTGCATTTTGCAGAAATGAAGTAAAAACGACATCTTGTGGTAAAATGTGGTTACTGCAACCACTTTAAGCAACTCCGGAGCTTTTTGCCAGCCATCGTTAAATTCCAGTTGTTGGAGCTGCAGCATTAGCTCGCAGGAGACGCGGCACCCCCACACTCACTGATGATAAACAGTGGTTACGTCCCTCCTTCCTTTGTTTTGAAAGGAGAAAACCCCGCAGCCGGCTGGATATGAAACATGTTTCAGTAAAACCTTCCTTCCAAAATGACTGAAACATTAGACTCTTTTGGGATTTTCTCACTGTAAAACTCTCACTATATGCTCACAAACTGCACCTTTAACTCTTCCAAACAAGCCATACTCATTCAGTCCAGCTAATTGAGGCCTGTAGGATCTGAGGTGGAGATTCTGGGCTTTTAGTTTTATTTTCTGAACAGAGCTTCATCTGAACATACTTGGATGTCCACTCCTGCCTTAAGTATTTTCTCCTTTGTATAATCCTTCTCTCTGCAGAATGATGGACTCAGTAAGATCACTGCTGACTTCCTCTCCTCAGCAGTGTGTTAACACACACCTGTATGCTCCAGACCAGTAAAACTGCTGCTGAAATGCTTGTAAATAAACTTCAGTGTGTCGTTGAACCATTTAATTTAGTTTAATAATTAATGGCGTGGTGGAATCTAATGTGTGTTTTTGCACACTTGAGGTAAGATTTTAATAATTTGAAAAAACATATAATTTTTGTCTTTTTCTGTGACTGTATGTGCAGAAAAAAGGAAAATGGAGGATTGTTTTAAGGTGCATTCACGGCTGATAGCTGAAAGCATGATTCGGCAAACGTTCCTCCTGCTTAGGTCTAATGTCAAGCTAGATCTTTGGTTTTAACTGAACATCAGGATTTTGATCAAAGGTTAATTTTCAGAGGTGGAAAGAGTACTAAAATTTCCTACTTAAATACGAGTACCAATACTTTGAACATTTTTACTCAATTACAAGTAAAAGTACTTGCCTAAATTTTTACTCAAGTAAAAGTAAAAAGTATCGTAAACAAAATGTACTCAAAGTAAAAGTTACTTAGTTACATTTTTGTCAGCGTAAGGATGGCTACATCTAAGGCCTAGTCCACACATAGCCGGGTTTTTTGAAAACGGATATCCGCCCCTCCAAAAACTTGCATCCACACCACCGTGTTTTAAAAAAAAACTCTGTCCACACGTACCCGGATAAATACGTTGTTAAGGACATGCCAGACCTGTAGGCGGCAGTACTTCCCCCGTTCTTAACCTCGTCCTTCGTCTGTGGTCTTCCGCAAGGAGCAGTAATTCCACTTGCAAAAACAAACAAGCAGAAAGCGCTTGGACAATTGATAAAGCGAGCGCAGCTCTGAGGGCATCCATGCTGTCGGCTAGTGTAAACACAGGTCGCACACGTGATGTCAGCATTTTTTGTCGTGGAAAGTGACGTTGCGGACCTTAAAACTCCGGTTTTGTTCGTCCACACGCAGACACCCAAAACGGAGAAAACGCAGATCTTCACTTTGGCCGGAGTTTTTAAAAAGATCCGTTTTCGTGTGGATGACAGGCCAAAACGTAGAAAAATATCTACATTTTGGCAGATCCCCGGCTACGTGTGGACAGGGCCTAAGTAGTGCTAAATCACAACGCCAGTTCACAATTCGCTCGTGTGTGTGCGCACACACACACACACACACACTCAAACACGCAAGGCTTGAAGGAGGGATTTCTATCCAATCAGTGAGAACAGGACGTGCACATTGATTGGACGAGGTTTTTCTAGGATGGTAAGTTTCAGTTGTGATTAAAATTAATCTTTATTTTGAGAAAAAAATAATTTTTAGATGCCATCAGTATGTGAGGTATCTCAATGTTCTCATGACAAAACTCTAACATGAGACTGTACTCTAACCTGTCACATAACAAGCCTAATGCAGTCAAACATTTCAAATGGACCGTATGACAGCTGTTAACGTTGGCCCTGCCCTACTTTACCTCTACATTACAGTTCCTTTATCCATGTCCATCCTAGAGCTCCTCTCTGACCTTCATGCTTATTTAGAGCAGCTGATTTTTAAAGTTAGCAGAGTTCATCCTTGGTGGTGGGTTCACTCACTCATGTAACCCTTCACCACTGAAATCAGTTAGTTCACTCCAATCCTCCTAAATAATCCTCCAATTGTCCAACTGGAATCCTGAAGGGTCCCGTAACGTCCATCCTGTCAGAATAGGCCTTGGGAGCCCAGGTGTTACTAGAACTAATGGTGTCTCCTCACCAGCGTGAGCCTCCAAACTGTGAAGGTTGGTCTCCAAACATGAACTTTAAATTCATGCATTTATCTCCTCTTGTAACACTTTAACATGTTTTAAGTTACACCTCCCAGACCAAAGATAAGATAAAACATTATCATAAATACTGTAGAGACGTCATTATTTATGAAATATACGTTAATTTCCTGAGCCATTACTTCAGCCAAGATATAGGATGCATGGATTTGATGAAACCATGCTGTCTCATGCAGTCCTATATGTGTAACACACACACACACACACACACACATGCACGCTAGCACATGCACACGCAAGCGCGCGCGCACACACACACACACACACACACACACACACATGCCCACACA